TCTAGATCAGGGACGTCCCTGGAAAATAGCGGGGACACTTGGAGGGTCTGCTGCATATTCTAAAGCTGTTCTTAGGATCTCTTCCTATGAATTCTTCTTTCCCAATATAGGGGTGGTTTTTGTGATAATCTCCCATTAGCAGAAGCATGTCATATGATGAGACCTTAAGAGAGCAATGAGCTTCTTAATGTATTTTTAAGGGGTGACTGGTATGTTTTGATTCTGAACGTGTTGCTAATATGCTGGAAATGGACGTTTCCAAGGACTATCTCAAATGAAGTGGATAGCACTTTGTTCAACATTTCACATTATCCTCCAACACACAATCTAGCCGGATGTTCGAGTCTCTGCGCCCCCTCCTCTTTTATTTCAAAGTGTCTCGGCTTCAGCCATGTGGAGAATTTCAGCTCGAATCAGTTTTGATTGCTCCCAGAAGAGTTCCTTGGCACAACTCTGGAGGCTTGACTCAGATCTTCCTCACTGGCAGCAGTGACAGAATTTCTGGCCACATCCCCTACACAAATGTTCCTAACTGTTTCTCAAGCTCGGCTCTCACAGCAAGGTGCTTGGTGCCAAGTGCTTAAAATGCTCTCACGCTGCAGTTAGTGTAAATATTGTTTTTAACATACCATTAATTTGCTGGACTGCGTTTCCAGCCAGCCAGCCAGCCGTAATCTGGCATGAGATTTGTGCACACCTGTCTTCACATATACACATTCTCATTCATTCTCTCTCTCTCTCTCTTGCACGCACACACTAGGGCTGTGTACACACTGTTCTGTTATAGCACATTCAAAGCACGTTCTTTTCCTCAAAGAATTACAGGCGCCAAAGTGTACCCCTCACAGTTTTTTCCCCTCAGAGAATTATGGGTGCTGTAGTTTGCCCCTCATAGAGTTGCAATGCCCAGCAACCTTTAACAAACTAATAATAAAAACAATATTTTTTTATATCCTGTCCATCTGGCTGGGTTTCCCCAGCCACTCTGGCTGGCTCCCAACAGAATATTAAAAATACAATAAAACCTCAAACATTAAAAACTTCCTGCCTTTAGTTGTCTTCCAAAAGTCAGATAGTTGTTTACAGTGGTACCTCGTGTTAAGTACTTAATTCGTTCCAGAGGTCCGTTCTTAACCTGAAACTGTTCTTAACCTGAAGCACCACTTTAGCTAATGGGGCCTCCTGCTGCCGCCACGTTGCCAGAGCACAATTTCTGTTCTCATCCTGAAGCAAAGTTCTTAACCTGAAGCAGTATTTCTGGGTTAGCGGAGTCTGTAACCTGAAGCGTATGTAACCTGAGGTACCACTGTATCCCCTTGACATATGATGGAAGGGCGTTCCACTGGACAGGCGCCACTACCGAAAAGGCCCTCTGTCTGGTTCCCTGTAACCTCACTTCTCGCAGGGAGGGAACCACCAGAAGGCCCTCGGAGGAGGACCTCAGTGTCTGGGGCAGAATGATGGGGTTGGAGACACTCCTATAGTGCCCATAATTCTTTGAGGGGGAAATATGCATTCAACGTGCATTCCAAATGTGCCAACAGCCCCAAAAGAGGTTTGCAACCCCTGAGATGTACAGTAATTATAAATAATACACTTAAACTTAACTTGTGTACTCGTTTGTCTGCTTGGTTAGCAGAAAAAACAAAAATACTCTGCTTCAGGATCCTTCCCGTTTTACTGTTTCTGTAGGTAAAATCAGTCATGTTGTAAAGCACAGAGTGCCCTGGGGGCATGGCTAGCTAGCTAAGTTCTGAACTGGGTGACATTTTAGAGCAGCCAGTCATAGGAAACAGGCTTATTAGCACATGGTGCATGCAGAGGTGCTTTTGGGTAATGACATTAAGAGACCCTTTATGCCAATGGGTTGGTTCTCTGAGATCCAGCGCTGAAGGTCTTCTGGCGGTTCCCTCATTGCGAGAAGCGAAGTTACAGGGAACCAGGCAGAGGGCCTTCTCGGTAGTGGCCCTGTGGAATGCCCTCCCATCAGATGTCAAGGAAATAAACAACTATCTGAAGACATCTGAAGGCAGCCCTGTTTAGGGAAGGTTTTAATAACTGATGTTTTAATGTATTTTTAACCTTCTGTTGGAAGCCGCCCAGAGTGGTTGGGGAGACCCAGCCGGATGGGTGGGGTAGAAACAATAAATTGTTGTTGTTCTCTTGCATCCTTAGCACACTGGTGGATGGTTGTCCTTAGAATGTAGGCTGTGTTTAGGAACAAGGAAACAAGTCTTGATTTTTCACTCTTTCGGGAGGATTGTTTATTTCGTGATGCTTTACTCCTCATTTGCTTTTGAGTATGAACAAAGGAGGCGGGCGGGAGACAGAGCTTCCTTGTTTTCTAGGTACATTTGGCTCACTGCTTGGCGGCCATATTGGCACCAAAGTTGCAATTCCACTGCAACCACCAGGTGTCTTGGAGCAGCGTGTAATGCCAGAAAAAAGCTTCCTACTAGCACTGAATTACTACATTTGCCTGGTTCATCCATAAAGTGTTATAAGGAGTTAAGAAGGTTTTGTATTTGACTTAAACACTGTAGTAATCTAGTCATCAGATGGCCACCTATACTTTGTTTTTCTCCTTCAAATGTGCCAAATGTAACAGATGGATTATGTTTATAAACCCAAAATGTATGAGGAGAAAACTTCAGTCGTTGCTGGAAATGTTGGTGGGTGTTTAAGACATGAAGGTTGCAAGTTTCTTGATAATATGATGAAATATTTCTGCCTTGAATCACTTTGAGGTTCTTATGAAGGATCAGTGATAAATAAATGGTCTAAATAAATGGCAAAGAGAACAAGATGCTAGATTAAATGGATCCAGCCATCTGATATTATGTACACCAATAGTTCTGAAATGATGGAGATTGGAGTAATTCCTGTTTGGGTCATAATTCCTCCACCAAAAGAGTGGAATACAATACTATTGCCCTATGCTGACCTAGGGAACAAGAGCAATTGAGGGATTCTCCCACATGAAAGGTCACAGTTCCTTAGACAGAGTCTGTTACTTTCCTGTCCAACCCATCTTTCTGATGGTACTTTTCCTCCCCAGCAGAACAGTTCCAGAGGAGAAGGCAGGCAGGCAGACTCACAGAGATGTGTCACATCTGTTATAGAAGATAACTATTAAAGCTAGTTGCTTATGCTGTTCGCCTCCGGTTGAGTCAAGCAACATTTTTTGTCCACAGTGCCCTTCTTATTTTTTTGTGGGCCCAAAGGCTAGTCCATAAAACATATCATCTTAGTTCAAAGGTGGGCAGTTTATAGCTTACAGCCCAAATACTGATCACAAGCTTGCAGTGTTCTTACAACAATGGCACCATAATTCAACATCCTGCTATCGAAAAGAAGGCAAGCCTTAGCTTTTTGCACCACCATCGAGAGATTTCGATTCATCAGAAAATGCATGTTTCCTGAGGACTGTTTCCTATTTGATCTAAACAAGGAGGCTTTATGTGACTTTATAATTGCTTTTGTCTGCTCCTCTGTCTCCTTTGGATTGGAGGGTTTGTTTTTTCAGTTGTGACAACTGATAAATCATGTTTGCAGGAATATTTGTGAACATGTACACTATATGAGAGTTATTGTGGAGTTGTTCTTGTGGAATATATACCTGGTGTATGTATACATGTGAGAATCAGCCTCATTTATGCCCTGGAGTTATCCCCTCCAGTTTATCTTGTTTAGCAGGTCCTCTGCTGAACTGCCACATGTTTTTATTTTGCCTTTCTAGAAAGTCTTTAAAAGCAGTTTCAGGAAGTACCCTCTGGTACATGTACGATCTTATTATCTATCATCTACCTTCTATATCTATCTATCTATCATCTATCTATCTATCTATCTATCTATCTATCATCTATCTATCATCTATCTATCTATCTATCATCTATCTATCTATCTATCTATCATCTATCTATCTATCTATCTATCATCTATCTATCATCTATCTATCATCATCTATCTATATGTATCTATCTATCTAACTATCATCTATCTATCTATCTATCTATCATCTATCATCTATCATCTATCTATCATCTATCTATATCTATCTGTCTGTCTGTCTGTCTGTCATCTATCTATCTATCATCATCATCATCATCATCATCATCATCTTCTATCTATCTATATCAGGGGTCAGCAACCTTTTTCAGCTGTGGGCCGGTCCACTGTCCCTCAGACCATGTGGTGGGCCGGACTATATTTTGGAAAAAAATAATGAATGAATTCCTATGCCCCACAAATAACCCAGAGATGCATTTTAAATAAAAGCACACATTGTACTCATGTAAAAACACCAGGCAGACCCCAGAAATAACCCAGTGATTCATTTTAAATAAAAGCACGCATTCTGCTCATGTAAAAACATGCTGATTCCTGGACTGCCCGCGGGCCAGATAGAGAAGGTGATTGGGCCGCATCTGACCCGTGGGCGTTAGGTTGCCTATCCCTGATCTATCTATCATCTATCTATCTATCTATCTATCTATCTATCTATCTATCTATCTATCATCATCTATCTATCCAAGCCACGCACACCCCACAAAAAATCCTGGTTACGCCCATGTATCTACCTTCTTATAGTAGTTTAGTTTCCCCTCTCATCCATACTTTGTGCCAAGTACCAAAAGCACCGCTTGTGAAACAGGACAGAAAGAGCGGCTGAAAGTGAAACACATAGCACCACAGTGTTGTAGCTCATGGTTCACAGCCCAGCCCAAAGTTAACCCTTACAACCCTTTGATTTTGCAGTGCTTGGAGCTCTTGTGTCCAATGGTGGCCGTGTTTCTTTCTCATTGGGAGAGCTAGAATCCACCAGCAAATAATGTTGATGTGTCTTGACTGCTTCGCGCTGCCCCCACCCCTCAGAAAACAGTTGTGCTTATTGCTTTTGTGACTCTTGCAGCATAGCTATAGCTAAAGACTGTTCTTCTGATAGTGCTGAATCTAATAACGCTGTTTTATTTGTGTTTGGGTTTCTTTTCTTTCTTTAGCAACAAGAGCAAGACCCCACAAATCTTTACATCTCAAACTTGCCCATTTCCATGGATGAACAGGAGCTGGAGAATATGCTGAAACCCTTTGGACATGTCATTTCCACCAGAATATTAAGAGATGCTAATGGCGTCAGTAGAGGAGTCGGCTTTGCCAGGTGAAAACCTTGTTCTTCCTGACTTGTGTGCAGGAGTTCTTTCTCTTCTTATTATGTGCTCTGGACTTTTTGCAAGTGCTGTCTTTGCTCTGAGATCTCGTGGCTATAGAATACAGAGGAGGAGGAGGAGGAGGAGGAGGAGAGCTTTATCAGATTGTGTGGCTTTGCTTGAAAACACCGTTTATTTTATTTAGCAAAATGACAGTAAAATAATCAGGGATAATTAGATAGCAGTTCAATTTCAACACTAATAAGAATAAATGTCATTCTGTCCAAGCTCCTGTATATGATTATGCTTGATGCTTCTTAATTTAACGACAGGAAAATCAGAAAGCGGGAGTGTAATCCGAAATAGATGGGGTCTGTAGCCTCCCTGTAAGGCACTTGGAAGATAGTGCTATGACTTACAGCAATATCATGAAGTTGAATGTCTGTGTTGCTACATCTGCAAACAAAGGGAAGTTATCCAGTCCCAGCTAATCTTTTTCTCAGAAACAAAAACTGCTTATAAATATTCTGCAGGAATATACAAGTATACTCTAGAGTTATGCTCCATCAAGGAACATTAACATATTCTCCACCTTGGCTTATGTCACCAAATAATTTGACAGGCATCTAGAAGACTTGCCTGAAGAGTTTAATAGGAGATGAAGTTGCTAATACTAATGTTCAATTTTCATTTCTTGAGCCAAGATGCTGGAAATTGATAGCGCTTTTACCTCTTTTTGCTTCTCTTTTGTGGATTGTAATAATTGATAACCAACAGCAGAAGGTGTTCTTACTATCTGAGAAATGCCAGAGAAACTAGGCACCGTGGGTTGTTTTCAGCTAAGTAATGCTCAGAGTAGACCTACTGAAATTAATGAGCCCAAGTTCATCATGTCGATTAACTTCAGTGACTCTGCTCTGAGTAGGACCAGCATTGAATTCTACCTTTTATGTCTGTAGTTAAGTTGGACTGTAGACTGGTGAGAATGAACATTTGATTTAAAAAATGGCTCTTCTCTCTTTTTTTGTGCTTTACTATGCACACACTAACATACTGGATCCTGGAAGGAAGTTTTAGCATCATGCACGAAAGAACAACCTTATGCTAAAATTCTAAACATGTTTATACTAGGAGTTATCATTTTGTCCCAGCAGATACATTAATTATTATTTTTTTTTGAGTGTTCAGGGTCAACATCAAAGCTCATAAGAACCTGTCTTTTAAAAAAAGGTGCTTTGTGGGGGCAAGACAAACCCATACGATCGCACGTTGGGTTTTGGAATATCTGGGCTGTGCAATCTGTATTGGCCTGTTTTTGATCTACTGTGAAGGCAGGACTTGGGTCCCCAGATGTTGTTAGACTACAACTTCCATCATCCCTGAGCTCTGGCCTTGCTAGCTAGGGGTGATGGGAGTTGTAGTTCAACAACATCTGTGGACCCACAGGTTGAGAAAGGCTGGGTTAGGTAGATGGACGGGATGCAGTTAATGAATCTATTTGATCCCCCAAGAAAACCCTTGGCAGATGTGCTCATCTATATAATGTGTGATCTATGGCTGTTATACAGCACAGGCAGACTGGCCAAAAGTGTCTTGTAGAAAAAAAAGCACATCTGTTTTCACTAAAGATGCAAGTTTCTCAAAATGTTTGAATATAGTCTAGACACCACTTTTTTTAAAAAAAGTGATGATACTTTCATTTTACGTCATCACTTTTTGCTGCTTTTCTTAAGATGCAGAAAAGAAAATCTGTTAATCAGAAGGCAGAAATGAAAAGCCAAAGAACTGTTGTCATTCACAAAAATGATTTGCGTGAAATTGGTTTTAGCTGTTAGCAAAATCACGCTTCTTTAAAGAACCCCTCGTGGCAAGGGACTTCCGATGAGCAAGTAAAACCGTAGCACCTATTTCATGCATATCTGTGTGATGCAACATATCTTAGTCCATCATGAGCAAGGCAGGTTTCCCCGTGTGCTAATAAGGTGTCATAAGTTAATAGGCATTGTGATTTCACCTTTTGTCCTTGATGCAAAAGAACCTTGCTCTGAAGAAGATGTTAAAATAACAGGGTCTGCATTCAAATGGCAAAACAGACTGAAGGATGAGGCTCTATTGCCTCCTCCCAGTGAATTCATTAACTTGCCTTATTATACATTTGCTAAGGGAAGATGCATATCTGGAACATTAACTTGCGCTTGAAAGCTTGAGGGTTTTTTCCACAGGAATGAATTTAACAGGGACTGGGGAGGGGAGGAGATGACAAGGTGGAATATACACTTTCAGAAGCACCAAGTAGCACAAACTGTGTTTCCATGAAGTATAAAGGCAGCCAGCATTGGGGGTTATTCTGGGATGTGTGCCTTGCCTGCTGTGTGGTTGAAATGCTCTTTGTGTACATGGAAAAATTCAAGAGCTGCCCAAGATATTTTGCTGCTTGAGATGACCTCTGTGGCCAGACATGTTTTTTACCAGCTGCAACAATTACAGGACCACAATAGCCTGACCTCAGTGGTCCATGCATTGACAGTCTCAAGCCTTGATTACTGTAACATGCTTTTTGTGGGGCTGCCCTTGTATTTGGTCCAGAAGCTTCAACTTGTGCAGCATGCAGTGATTGGACGGCACACACAAGCAGATTACTGCTGAGAAAGCTCACAGGTTGGCAGTTTGCTACCTGTCCAGGTTCAAGGTACTTATGTTAATTCACAAAGACCTAAGTAGCTTAGACCCAAAGTGCCTTAGGTAAAGGTAAAGGGACCCTGACCATTATGTCCAGTCGTGCCCGATTCTGGGGTTGCGGCGCTCATCTCGCTTTATTGGCCGAGGGAGCCAGCGTACAGCTTCCGGGTCATGTGGCCAGCATGACTAAGCCGCTTATGGTGAACCAGAGCAGCGCACGGAAATGCTGTTTACCTTCCTGTCGGAGCGGTACCTATTTATCTACTTGCGCTTTGATGTGCTTTCGAACTGCTAGGTTGGCAGGAGCAGGGACTGAGCAACGGGAGCTCACCCCATCACGGGGATTCGAACCGCCAACCTTCTGATCAGCAAGTCCTAGGATCTGTGGTTTAACCTACAGCGCCACCCTTAAGGACCCTCTGATTCCTTATGTCTCACCTCTATCACTGAGGTCCTCCGATGGGTCACTTCTGCTGGTTCCCCATGCCCATGAGATTTGGTTGGCTTTTACCAGGCACTGCATCCTTGGTGTGTCAGGCCCTGCCCTGCCAGACTCCCTGCCAGCAGATTTTGGGCAGGAACAACCCCTCCCTTCTGCCCCATGTATTTTGAAAACTATATTGTTTAGAAGGGCTTTTGCAAGATTATTTTTCTCTTTTTGTCCAATGCATTTTATCGATGCTTTGTTGATGCTTGTAATGTTGCTTTTACGGATGCCCTTTTCCTGATTTTATTCTAATATATTAAATACCACATTGATACATTTTTATGGAAGTGCCGATTGTAAATACATAAAGTTCACAAAGACAAAACATTGCAGAAGCAGGAGATTGAGGGCAGGGGATAGTTCTGCTACCTATTGCTCAGAGCTACTTCACAGTTTATGCAGAATAAAATTATGGCACGTCTGAGGACAAAGCTGCACATTATACTAAATCCATGGTGTGCAGCTAGGTGTTTTTTTTTCTTTAATTACAAGCAGTGTTGGAGAGGGAGGGAGGGAGAGTAAGACTGCAGTTGGGTTTGTAACATGTACGGAGCAGAGAGTCATATCCCTTCTTTTCCCAGCCACAATTTGGATGAAAATCGCCCTCCATGTGGCTATAAGGCTTTGAACGAAGTTTCTATTGGCACCAGCACAGAAATCTAAGAAAGATGTATTGATTTATCCTCATTATTGATTTATGGATCACCTTCTAAACAACTGTCTCAAGCAGTATATGCTCAAGAGGATTAAAAACAGTTAAAAACACAATGCGCCGAGGACTTTGCAAAACCGATTTGTTTGTTCCAATAAATACTTCCTCCTTCCAGCTCACTGACCTCAGAAATACCCACATAATGGTTTGCACTTGCATACAGAATATTTATTGGGTATACGCAGACTTCTTTTTAAAGCTGCTATGTGGAAACACAAAACACGTTGTGTTTTTGGCTTTAAAGCCACACCATCTTCCTCCCTGCACTGGGAAGCAAGATCTCTAAGCAGTGCAAATCCCATTGAAAGATGAGAGTGCATCTTATGATCTGAAATTGTATTATAGGTGCGTCATCATGTCCTCCACTGGGAAACATATCCCTAAGCAGTAGAATCTCCATTACAGGACATGGATTCGAGTTTTATCACTAGTGTAGAAAGAGCTGTTGTTCTTGATAAATGACAGTTACGGACAACTAACTTTCATTTTCTGAAGCTGTTTCTTAATGATGGAAGTTTGCAGAAGTAGTAGGCGCTATAACTTTTATTTGGGGGGGGGGCCTGACGTCTTGTATCTTAAATTGACCTTCCAAAATTCACCCCCAAGTGACATTTAATAGCAGACTCATAAAGCTCTGAAGAGAGAGAGAGAGAGAGAGAGAGAGAGAGAGAGAGAGAGAGAAAATGAGGGGAATGCTTACAGCCATACACTCATCTCTTGCAGTGCTAGCGGGTACCAGTATAATACTTAAACTGAAAGGCAACATAAATCAATCAGTGCCTGGCTATGTTTTATGCTACCCATTTCCCTGCTCAGGAAACACTAGTAAATGTGTTGAACATAAACTGCTTTAGAACAATATTGCTATATTGCTATAGCAATATAGCTATGTCAAAGGTAGAAATTGAGTTTTTCCTTACTTTAATTTTTGTAAAGGCCACACCTCTGCCTAGCCAGGGGGCATACACTTTTGAAAGCTTTGGCCCTATACCTGACATATTTCTAGTCAGAAATATAATAATAATAATAATAATAATAATAATAATAATAATAATAATAATATTTATACCCCGCCCATCTGGTTGAGTTTCCCCAGCCACTCTGGGCAGCTTCCAACACAATAATAAAATACA